GTGGAGGAGGCCGGTGGGCTGGGCGAGCTGGCGCAATTGGCGCACTTTGTGCACCGAAGCGCGCAGCACCGACTCGAGCGCCTCGAAGCTCATCTCGGGGAACACGCCGACCGCCTCGTAGCCCATCGCGCGCGAGGCAAGCGGGCGCGCCGGCCAGTCACTCGCTACTCTCAACGCCGAGCAGTAGTGCCTTGGCCAGGCGACAAGGCACCGACTGAGCCGGAACTCGCCGAGCCGGGCATGCCTGCCTGAGACGCACGCACGCACACACGCACGCACGCACGCACGCTGGCACGCAGACGCGGCGCACTGCCACTCGCGCAGGCACGCAGGCGCGCCAGCCAGCCAGACACACTCACGCACGCACGCACGCACGGCACGGCCTCAAGTCGGCTCGGCCGCCTCCACGACGGGCGATGAGTGCGACGTGCGGCGACGTGCGACGAACGACAAGCGACAGGAGACAAGAGACAAACGACAGACGACCGACGACCAACGACCAACGGCCAACGACTGACAAGAATACCGGACTTGCGTTGCGACCGGCAAGTGGAGCGAGCGCTCGGCGGTTTTATACATCGCCCGACGGGACGAGGAGGAGGGGCAGACGAGGGGGGCGGCGGAGGCGGAGTCGGCGCTGGTGGGGGCGGCGAAGCATAATAAGCCATACGCGCTGCCTGCCCAGCCAATGATGCGTGCATGCGTGGGTGTGAGCGTGCACGTGGGCGTTGGCGTTGGCGTTTTAATCTGTCAGTGCCCATACTGGTGTTCGTGTCCGTGTGCGCCTGTCGACGGCGTTGCGCTGACGTTGGCGCTGGCTGTGGCGCGGCCAGAGCCGAGGCCGTCGGCGTTCCGGCAGCCGGCGACACGCGCATCCGCCGCCAGCCTGTGCCAGGACTGCATTGCCTCGTCTTGCGCACGTGCGCACGTGCGCACCGGCAGACAGACACGTAGGCTCGCCTAGCGTACAAAGTCGAGTTCACTCGACGCGGCCTCGCATTCTCAAGATGATTTTGCCGGCCCGACGCAGACCGGAAGACGCATATCCAGCTATACTGCCACTGATCGAGCGTATTCAGTCGTATGCGCG